CAGCTTTTGTTATGAAGACACTGTTCCTGCCCTTGAGCCTCTCACTGTCTAGTGGAGCGAAGTTTGTGTAAAGAGGCATCTCAAATGCCTGTGATGTGTTCTGTGATGAAGCGCTGCAAGAGGGGATATGAGAGCAGAGAGGAAGGTCAGCCTACCCCAGCCAGAGAACATCATTTCAGGAAAGCCTCAGAAAAGAAGAATGAAGAATTACCCAGCCAGAGGCCACAGCTAAATGTGTCCCAGGCAAAGGAGTACACATGACAGAACGTGGCATAGTCAAGGAATTGCAAGCGGTCATTTACAATTGAAGTTATGGTTCGAGCTGGAGAATGATGAAGGATGAGGCTGATGTAGAAAGAGCATAGGTTTTGGAGTTCCAGCAGTCAGAAATTCCAGCTTCTTCACTCTCCAACCACATATCCTCAACCAAGTGACTTCTTTCTGAGTCTCGGTTTCCCCATTTGTAAAATGATGGTGATTATATGAACTAATGTATGTCTCGGTTTCCCCATTTGTAAAATGATGGTGATTATATGAACTAATGTATGTAAAGTACTTGGCACAGAATATACATTGTGAAGTGCTGAATATACATTGTTTGAATGATAACAAGCACTCTTTAACTGTGTTTATCTAGGATACATTTAGTGGTTGGTCCATAGTATACACTCATTTTTTATTGAATCAGTTGAAGGGGGAATGGGTGAATCATTCACTTACTGCATATTTTTTAGACACTCTCCGTGTGCCAGTCACTGTTCTAGGCAATGGGGACACAGCAGCTAACAAAACAGACAAAAGTCTCTGCCGCGATGGGACTTACAGTTCATGAATTGAGATGGGAAAGGGGACACAGGTGTCTGTGAGGGGACAGTGTACTTCATGTTCCCTGTGTCTTTATGATTCTCTGATGAAAAGCTAATAAACTGACAAGGCAAAACTCCCAAGAAGTCTGGATGTTAATTCCACTTCATAATAACAATGAGGAGGCTCTCATCCTCTCCCTTAATCGCTTCTCACTTATCAACCCCCAGCTTCCTGTTGTGATCCGGGGGCACTGGTGAGTTGTGTTGTTTGTCAGGAAGAAATGTCAAGGAGAGCTCAAGTCATTATTGGGCTCTAGTGTCTAAAGCGATGGCAAGAGGAAATAGGAAAGCAGCGCACACAAAAAGGCTATGGAGAGGGAGATTTGCCTATCTCAGCAGCCAAGTGATAAGTGAGCTCAAATGCCTGGTGATGATGCACGGAGGTTTCATTTCAACAGCAGGATAATCATCTTCACATGTGTGTATCTCCTTAGAGAAAGGGTTCACCAAGGGGATCTCATTTAATCCTCGGAAAGACTCTGTGAAGTAGGAATTAACCCCATTTAATCCCATCTCTCTCCTGTAGGTTAACTCCTCCCTCTCCATTGTGGCATATAATGATGCCTGCGTTTCAGTCATAAACAAAAACAACAAAAGGCTTCCTTCATTCCTTATCCCTGTCTAGCCATCATCTCCTCCTCACAGCCAAGTCCACCAAACATTAACAATATGCTTGTTAGCTCCATTGCTCCCCTTCCATTTACTCATCCTACTGTGATCAACACCCAAAGGCCACTGAAATTGTCGTGACTTCCCATATGCCCAGTCCAAGGGATGCCCGTTGGTCCCTATGATAGTTGGCTTCTTTAGCATTCAAAGCCATTCTCTGCTCTTTTTCCTCCTGCTTCCGAGCCTGCTCCTTCTCGGTCTTGTCCTCAGCTTCTTCTCCTCTGCCACACCTTAATGCTGTCGATCAGGGTTCTTTCTACCACCCTTCCATGTGTGTATGTGCGTGCGTGCGTGCGTGCGTGTGTGTGTGTGTGTGTGTCTCCCTCTCTCCCAGTGAACAGGATTTCTTTAAAATCCTGCTCAGGCTTCTGATTTGTGAAACCCTCCCTAGCGGCAGTCCGACCACCTCTCACCTTCTCACGCTGCTGCCCCACCTTGAAAACACGTGCATTCCCCTTTCTCTTGCTTTCAGTGGCTCCTTCCTAGCTTCAGTAAAGCTCACATCACACTGTGCTGTGACTGTTTGTGTATATGCCTTCCCTAGGAGATTATGAAAAACTTCAGGGTCAAGACTGTGACTTCGCTATTTCTGTATTCTCAGTGCCTGGCTAGGTACCTGGAACATGGTAGACACAGATTTAGAGGTGTTTGGTGAATTCTTAAGAGTCAAACCAAGAGCAATTGATAAAATGTCAGGGCCTAAACCCCAGTCTCTCTACCTCAACCCCAGTGAATTCTATAAATTAAGGGGCAAGATGGAGGGAAGGATTTCCTTTTCCCCACAGATACTGCCCCAGCTACCAGGTGTGGAAGGATTGTTTGGCATTTATAGCCTTCATTTTGCATACCCCAGGATAAGAGAAGAAAAGAAAAAAAAAAAAAAAAAAAAAGACCCACCTCCCCTCTCTTCCTCCCAGTGGACAGCCGTCACCATCACTTCCTGTTAAGCCAGGAGGCAGGAAACATATCCTAGCTCCTGAAACTCCCGATTTCCCTCAGGTTTCCTCACAGACCCAGGGGTGGAGAGTGTTTTAATAAGACACCTTGTAGCCAGGCTTGCCCTGAATATGATCTCTACCATCCTGAAGTAATACTCCTGAAGAAACCTTCATAAAGTGGTCAAAGATACACCTGCAAGGAAGGAAATTTTGCCTTTACCAGGAATAAACAAGTCTTCCAGGGAGAGGCTCTGAAATCAGATAATGTGTGCATTCAGCAATTACAAGTTGAAGTTCCACCCAAATACACACAATCAAAGGCTTTAACCAAGGCCATCATTACTTGTGCAGGGCCCTCCTGCTGTTTGGGCAACATTTTAGTGCTGCAGTGAAGCAAGAGAAACGTCGTCAAAGCGAAGAGGTACTGATAGACCCATTCGGCAGTGCCTTTTCTTGACCTGATGATTCACTTCACCTTGTCGTTTATAATGCTGCAGCCTGGGAGGGAAAGAAGGAAATGAAGAGGAAAAGAGTGGGCCGTGTTGTGCATGTAATTTGTTTCACCATTTCAGACGGCTTTTTAATGAGCTTTCTCATTAAGGGCTCTGTGAGTCTACGCTGAAAGTTTTCTGGACAAGCAAATAAGCAAGACTGAAATCAGATGGCATCAGCCCAGCACCTCATAGTTTGTTTCAAAGCTACAGTCACGGGGAATGGGGGAGCTTAAAACATTATTTGTGAGAACAGAGATTTGATAACTCTTTTGTCTTAAAACATTTGAAAATTAATGATGTGGTCTTAACTAATCCCCATGAAAATTCCAACGTTCATCAAGTATTAGAATTTTAGAGTGCGTCTATGATAGCATTTCTCTATTCAGCTGGTTCCCATGGAGAGAGGTAATTGTCCTGTGCTATCCTAGCCCTGGGTTCATATTTCTGGTAGAGTACCCATCACATTGCATCAGAAAATGTCCCTTCTAGACGCTGACCCCTGTATAGGCAGTCAGCCTTACCCAGTCCTCCTTTACACTTCTTGAGCCCAACACAGTGTCCAGACATATAGTAGACACTCAATAAATGTAGCTTTGTCATTTAAATGAATTCATTAGGTAGAATTAATACATGAACAAGTACATAAAAGACTTAGACTTGAGAAGTAGACTTCACGTCAGAGTAATTTATCACCTCGAAAGGTTCAACAAACATTTTAGTTTCCAAACATCCCCTTAGTAAAGCGGCAGCCTTCATTTAAAATTATCAAGAGGGAGGCCGGGCGTGATGGCTTACCCCTGTAATCCCAGCACTTTGGGAGGCCGAGGCGGGCAGATCACCTGAGGCCAGAAGTTAGAGACTAGCATGAACAACATGGTGAAACCCCATCTCTACTAAAAATACAAAAATTAACTGGATGTGGTGGTACATGCCTATAATCCCAGCTACTCAGGAGGCTGATGCACAAAAATCGCTTGAACCCAGGAGGTGGAGGCTTCAGTGAGCTGAGATTGTGCCACTGCCTCCAGCCTGGGCGACAGAGCGAGACTCTGTCTCAAAAAAGATAAAAAACAATGATTAAAAAAAAAGTTATCAAGAGGAAGGAAGAAAAGTACTGGTGGGGATTTGAAGTGTTTTGTTTTTGTTTGTTTGTTGTTTTTTTGTCATGGATGAACACTGTATATTGGGTTTCTGACCATGAATTGGCCCTTTTTATGATTGAGAAAGTGATGCAATTGTTACTGTATTTATCTTTCCAGTGAGTTTGTTAACAGAACATAAATGCAGACACATGAAAGTGAATTCTTTCTGTTGCCTATGCTTGAACCAGTTGTTCGGCAAGCCTTCCCTCTGTATGGTACAAAGAATGCCTCACTCTCTATGATTCCAGGGACTTCTAGAGATAATGTACTTTAAAAGTCTGACATAGTGGTGGCTGTGGACTGTTTGCTTGATAAAAGCCAGGCACCTCCCGACCCTTGTTCCAGGAAGAGTACAAAATGAGGAAAGCAGCGCTCTTCATTAGTGCTTTATTGGATTGGAGATAGATGTCAAAAGAGGGTGACACAATCCTCCCTAAAATATTCGCTCAGTGTTTCCATCCAGTTTTTGCTACTCAACATTCTTGTGTGTACTGGACTCATACCAGAGATGTAGCCACTGTTTCTTCCCTCTGTCTCTCTCCCCTCTCTCTGTCTTTCTCACGCAAATGCATCCTTGAGTAGTAAGCAAGGAGTAAGTGATCCATCTCTAGGAGCAGAAGAATGGGCGTGAGTGTTCTCAGATTACATACCTGGAGAGTTTTTTTCTGATGAGCATCACCTAGTCAGTATTTCACAAAGTGTGACCTGAGGACTGTGTGCATCGGATCCCTGAAAATGCTGATTGAAGGGCTTGATCTCCCCGCTGGCTTGGCATTCTGGGAAGGAGCACTGAAGTCTATAGTTTTGTCATGCTCCCCGGATGATCCTGCTTCCTGCTGAAATTCAAGAGCCTCCGGCCCTGACTTCTGACCTGGTGGTGCCTTGGCTCACTAGAGGGCACCATGGAACAATGTTTTTTCTGACTGTGGGCTTCCTGTTCCTGCCAACCCACCAGGGCTGCGGCGCCCACATAGTTCTGGGCTACAGCTTCCAAGCCCATCCTGGAACCACAGTTTCCTTTAAGAAACTTAGTCCAGTTGCCACATCACCAAACAGATCTAGTATTCATTTCCACAATGGCACTATAATAAATTCAATTCCTAAAGAAAAATTAGGGTTCAAGTTATCTCATGTTTATTCATTAAACACAAATTGTGTACTACAAAAGCATTAGGTATCAACAGGATTAATAAAAGAAAACATCCTTCCTACTATCAAGAAAAACCTGGAAAAGATAAGACAAAATTGTAAAATCATTTAAAAGTAATTATAATTAATAGTAATTTTCAAATGAACAGTAAAAAATTTTTTTTTAATTACAAAATCTGACACAGACATTTGCCAGTAAATGTACACATAGGGAGTAGCCCCTAAGCTGACTGGGATAACTGCAAACCAGGATCCCTGAGAAGGCATCATGGAAAAGGTGGGATGAGAGAGGGCCTTGGAATAAAGTGAAAGGGATAAGAGGATGTCAGGGCAGCCTAATTACAACACATGTCTAATTCAGGGCCCTTCCTGTGTCTCAGCAGTGACTTAACTAAAATAAACATGTGGAATGCAAATCTGGGAAGTACCACTGGGCTTTCAATTGTCATATTGGCACAGTACCATTTATTCCACAAATACTTGCACAGCACTACCATACAACGCTGGACAAGGCAAATGTTTAGTGCTGCTCTCATGTGTGTACAGTTCAGCTGGAGAGACAGGCCGGTAAGCATAATGATTCCAGAGCAGTGTGTTGTGTGGTAGGTAAAGCAGGAGGTTTGTGGGAGTTCACAGGAGAGAAGCCTAATCCAGGGTGGTAATGGAAGGCTTCCCTGGGGTAGAAATGTCCAGTGGAAGGAAGGAAGAGTTAGGAGCAGAGGGAGAAAGAGCATGTTTGAAGGCTGGGGAAGATAGGAAACAGTATATTTGAGGAACTGAAAGAAAGGCAGTAGGGCTGGCCCAGTGGTATTGGGGGTGTGCTGAACAGCATGGAGAGCACACAGTAGACTGGGGCCAACTCATGAGGAGTCTTGTAAATCATAACTGGGCTACCTAGACATCGTCCTCTGGGCACTGGGGAACCACTGAAGGAGTAAGAGCATGGTGGTTCCCTAATGAGATTTGCATTTTAGAAGGACCTGTCTATGCCAGGGTCAGTGCTACCTTGGAGTAGTAGTAAACAAGCAAAGTCATAGGAATCAGTCTCTCTTTAATTGGACCTTTCCGGTTTCCTTCCTCCATCCCCATTAACCAGCTTCCCTTGAAACCTTTTCAAACTGAGGTCTGTTTTTAAGGTCTGCTTCCCATGCTGGATAGCAGAGGAAGCAGGAATAGCTTAAAAATGTGACTGTCACAAGCTGGACTGCCCTTCTCTGTGTCCCTTAAGGTCCTTGAAAAAGGCCATTTCTAGTAAAGTGCAGAAGGAGGCAGAGTGACACTGGATTGTGAGGGAGAGTGGTCCAAACCCCAGTCCCCAGGTTGGACACCCTTGGCACTTGTCACCGTTTAAAGGCAGTGCCTATTGAATGTTCCCAACACAAAGAAGTGATGAATATTTGAGATGATGGAGATGCTGATTATCCTGATCTGATCACTGTACATTATATGTATTGCGATATTCCTATGTATCCTATAAATATACACAATTATTGTGTGTCTGTTTAAAAAAATTAATTAAAGGCAATGCAGAGGGGAAAACTACAGACAAATGTACAGATCAGTGCACAAAATTAACGTGGAATGTACAAAGAGGGGCTTTATCTTCCTAGGTAACTGCTGTTTTATTACTGCTATGACTGACTTACGGCTTTCGCTTTGCTCACACATCAAAATGTAAAACTCTTAATCAGGCCTCACGTCCTTATCTACATGGTAGCTGAGAAGCAGGTGATGGCAGTAAACTTTAATGACCAGAGGAAGTGTAATACTAATGCAGCCGTTTAAACCTCCCAATTTAATTAAAGTCTAGTTCCACGCTTGCTGCTTGCCTGGAGAATAGTCAAAGGAGAACTTTTTTTTTTTTTTTAAACCACTGACTCCACCCTCAGGCCAATCCCAAAGCAGCCTGCACTATATCCTCATTTCCTAAAATGGAAGCCATGTGTATGGAGAACAGGCCTTGGAGGGACACAGGTTCCTCAATTCCGGCCTCTGTGACAGAGGGCTCTCCCGCCCAGTTTCCTTTCCTTCAGCGTGAGGAAGAGTCTGTGTGCAGGGGCTGGAGCCTCTGGACACAAAAATAGAATATTTGAGCGTTTGGATTTTCCTTTCCTGACAGTGAACTTACTCAGGAAGAGGCACTGAAACAAGATTTTTTTTCCTCTGTTTTTCAAAAAACACGTTTAATGGGAGGAACAAAACTGTTGAGAGGAGACTTTTCAGCCCCGTCTTCTTTGGCCCCAAACAGGCTAAGGTGAAGCAGGCTTTTTCTTCCTTAATCGCCCTTTTTACTTGTAAACACATTGCCCTCCCCCACCCCCACCCCCGACCCAGGACTCCCCCCAGCATGCTTCTAGACGCCTTTGCAAGCCCCCCACCAAGTCTTCAAAGCACCACCGTGTCTTTGATTATTGGGCTCATAACTGAGACTTCCCACACAGTGGTATGAAGAGACATATGATTCAAGCATCCTCATTCCAGAAATATTATTAGTCTCAGGAAAAAAAAAAAAATAGGGGCCTGCTCTATGTCTGTCACCTGAAATAAACTCCCTGTTCCTCTCCTACTGCTTCTCAGATACTCAATTCTAAAGATTATTCCAGCTTATTTTGCCACCCCCAAGGTTTCTAACCCCAACCCCCCAGCTAGTGACTGAAGGAGAGAGAGGAAGAAAGGGGCCCTCTGAAGTTGGCCACCTCAGGGTATGTGAAGCACATGCTTGTCACGTGGAGAAAAAATGTGCTGGGCTAACCTCTGAGACTCCCTAGAGAATCCAGAGTTTGTGTCTCTTTGCAGAGCTCAGAACAGCCTGTATGTTCTCCTCTCCCTGTTGTGTGCCTGGCGCTTCCCCAGTGAGATATCTCCTGCAAAAGCTTTTCCTGTAAGGGGTGGGGAGCTTTTGTTCTCTGGGAAATATGGTGAAGATAATTAGGAGCATTGTCCTGTGAGGGGGGAAGGTGGAGGGCTTTCCGAGACCGTGGTTTCCACCAGGGTAAGTGAGGGCTGCTGAGATCTCTCTGTCCTGCTGGGTTAACAGTTTTAGGGGGAGATTGTGATGAAGCCCAATAACATAAAAATAGATATGTAAAGTATAATCTCTCTCCCCCTTCCTCCCTCTCTCTTTCTCTCTCTCTTTTTTGGCATTTGAGTTTCCGGTACTAACTCACTTCAGAAAAGGACGCTCCGACAATTTGGCTTTTAACTCCCACTGACCTGGTAGAGACTGGAGGTCACAGGACTAATGCCTTAATTCTATTTCATCCTGAACATGCGGGTGTGCTGCTAAAGTGAAATTTCCAGCAACGATGTAGATTTGGTTGTGAGCCGTTCTTGTAGAAGTAGTTCAACAACTCTTAGTTCTTGACTTCCAAAACAGGAGTAGCATATTTTATGGCATTTGTAAGATATAGCACCACGAAAGTCTTAAAATATATAAGCTATGATTGTCCCCATAGCAGCAAACCCAATTAGGAGCAAACATCTTGAGGCAGCATTCTGTAAGGTGTATCACTTACCTGGTTTACTCTCTCTGGATTTAAAAATCTCTATGTATCGAATTCTACAAATATTTGTAGAGTACATGCTAGGTAGTGTTCTGGGTGCTTCAGATATATGCGTGTATGAAACAAACACAGATTCCTGCCCTTGTGGGGCTTATAGTCTAGCTGAGGAAGATAAAATAAAGAACAATAAGTAGGTTATATAATACATTGAAAGCTGATAAGGGCTTTGGGGGGAAAATATAGATCAAAATAAGGGCAACTGGGAGAGTTGTGGTGAAGGAGGCAGGTTGCAATTCAATTAGTGTGATCAGGGTAACCATGAGGTGGTCATTGAGGTGACAGTTGAAAAAGACTTGATGGAAGTGATTGGAAAGCTGGGTGCAGTGGCTTGCACCCGTAATCCCAGCAACTCAGGAGACAGAGGTGAGAGGGTCACTTGAGGCCAGGAGTTCAAGACCAGTCTGGGTAATAAGACCCTGTTTCTAATAAATGAATGAATGAATGAATGAATGAATGAAGTGATGGAGTTCGCCATGTAGACATCTATGGAGAAGAACTTTTCCAAAAGAGAGAAGAGCCAATGTAGATGACTTGAGAAGAAAATGTGCCTAGAACAACAAAGAGGCTGCTATGATTGGAGTAGGAGAGCATAGGGGGAGAGTGGAGAAAGGTGACAGATTCCAGCTCAGCAGAGCCCTGTGTGCCATGGTAAGGACTTTGCCTTTGACTCTGAGCAAAAGAGGGAATCATGGGAGATTTTTGAGCAAAGGAATGAAGGGATCTCATTTAAATTTTTACAGAACCATACCGGCTGCCTTGTAGAAAATAGACTAGGACAGTGTATCAGCAAAAGTGATTAATCCTAGGTATGTAAACATATATATTTTTTTCTGGATATATTTTGAAAGTAGAGCCAACAAGATTTGCTGATAGATTAGATGTGGAATGCAAGAATAAGAGTTACATCAAGGACAACTGCAAAGCATTTGGCCTGAAAAACCGAGAGGAAGGAAAAAGCATCAGTGGAGAAAGGGAAGGGTGCACCAGGGTCACTTGGGGTGCATTTGATCCAAGTAACTTATCCATGGCTCTTATCCAAGTGTGTTGATCAGAATCACATGGGACGCCTTCACAATTATACTTGCCCAAGATCCCAAGAGATTCTTCTTTAGTAAGTCTGGAGTAGGTGTCCAAAAATATATATTCAATGGAGAGCCGCTAAATTGTAAAATAATAGTTGGTAGAGTTCTGTGTTTAAAATTCTGGATTTTATAATGAAACAAGTGGAAGGAATTATAGATAACACTCCCACTGTCTGGGATGAACTATACTTTAGGTCCTCCTTTCA